TAGCTTGGCAGTAGCGGAATACGACCCTGAGCCGGAGGTAAGGGTAGGTGGCCGTAGACTCGCTCGGAGAGGAAGGTCTTCAGGCACGACCTGAAGATGGGAAAGGAAGGGGCAAGGTGGAGGAATGGAGGAAGAGTGTTCCAGAGTTTCAGGGCAGAGAGTTGTGAGAATATAGAATGCGTTGGGCCTTGAGGTCCATAGATACAGCATCAATTTGGACTTTTAAATGATCAATGTATACTAAGGAAGTAAGGAATATTTAAAAATTGTGCAGGCTTCTTTTCTGTACCGTTTCACCGACAATATATACAGTCAGTTCACTTTACAGTATATTCCGTGAAGTGCTTTGAGACGTCTCAAAAAAAACAACAAAATTACATTTGTAAAGCGCCTTTCACATCGGGAGGACGTCCCAAGACACTATCTGGACGTGATAAGGCGTTATACCAAATACAAGGATTATTATAATAAAGAGAAACCCCAAAAGGACAGGAAGCACTTCTTGATTTAGTTACAACAAAAGGTAGAACAGCTAAAGGAATTACAAGTAGGAGAATAATGAGCTTGTAACAATACATTTTAAGGTGACAGTATATTCTGTGAAGCCCTTTGAGACGTCTCAGCAATGTGATAAGGTGCTATATCAAATTGCTATATCTCAGCAACGTGATAAGGTGTATGAGATTAATATTATTTTTAATGAGATATAGACTGCGGTATTGAACCACAAAAAAGCTTTACAATGCAGTGAACTAGTCAATTGGAGTGAAAAATTGGCAAATAAAAATGTTGAGCAACAACAGAAGGTATTTTAACAGAGGACAGAAAAGGTACAGGAGAAATCTATTCCATTGAGAAATTAAGGAAAACAATCTGATAATGAAAATCACAGAATATTACAGCACAGAAGGAGGCCATTCAGCCTATGCCGGAAATGCATAAGGAGGTGAGAATAATACTGAATCCATGGAAGAAACGGATATGAAAATTACAAAACAGAAAGGGAAAACAAAAGTGAATATGACAATCTTAGGAAAGGGATTAAAAAAGACAATTAGGATGGCAGAGTGGACTTACGAGGAGAAAATATCAGCACACATAAAAATGGTGTTCTTTAGACATATCAGTAATAAAAGAATAGTTATGGTTAGAGTCAGGATCGCAAAGGGGTGAAGGGAATAAGCTTACAGGAGATAGTAACAAAATGGTTGGAATATGAAGGAGACTGGCAAAGAAAATATGGGAATGATAGATAGTGCACGGAATGAAATCACAGCAGTTACTTGGAAGGAAGGAGGTACTCTCATAAATTAGAACAAAACACCAGGTCCAGATGGACTGCACCCAAGGATCCTTAAAGAATCGAGGGAGGAGATAGCTGAGGCACTGGTATATATTTAGGAACTCAGTGGAGAAAGGAACCGTGCCAGAGAACAGGAGGGTGGCAAATGTAATTCTCATTTTTGCATAAGAAGGTAGAGCTAACCTAGAAAACTAGAGACCAATTAGCTTAATGTCTGTCCATAATAAAGGATGACATAACCAAACATCTCGATAATTAAAAGCAGCCAGCAAGGATTCATTAAAGGAAACAAAAACAGAGAGAGCTGGGAAAACTCAGCAGGTCAGGCAGCATCAGGTCTGACGAAGGGTCATGGACCCAAAACGTTGACTCACTTTCCTTTCTCCATAGATGCTGCCTGACCTGCTGAGTTTTCCCGGCTCTCTCTGCTTTTGTTTCAGATTTCCAGCATCGGCAGTATTTTGTGTTTGTTCATTAAAAGAAAGTCTAGCTTAATCAATGACACCAATTTCTTTTTAGAAAAGCAGATAAAAGTATAAACTAGGGAAATACAGCGACAGAATGTCTCAAAGTGCATCACAGGATATATTGTAAAGTGTAGTAACTGTGTAATGTATATGCAAAGGGTGTCAGACAATTTGCACACAGCAATGTCCCATAAACAGCCATGAAATTAATGACCGATTTTATGTAGGGGATTATTGGTCAGGACACTGGGAGAAATTCCCTTCTCTTTCTGAATCACACCGAGGGATCTTTAACATCCACCTGAACAGGGAGATGGGACCTGGGTTTAATGTCTCACCTGAAAGACGACACTGCCTACAGCATATCCCCAGCACTGCATTGGAGCATCAGCCTGGTCTATGAGTTCCAATTCCCCCCATGGAGCTTGAGCTCACAACCTTCTGACTCAGAGGCAAGAGTGCCATCAACTATAAGGATTATGATCTATTATTATTAATTATTATTATAATATACCCGAGACCCAAATTCATCCACATGTAGCCCACATGCCCAATTTGTGTCAAAATTTCCAAAATTGATTCTCCGAAGTTCTTAAAAAGAACTGGCTTCCAAATTAGGACCGAATCTTAGATTTTTTTCAAAATTCTCGGCGAATTTACAGTTAAAACAGAATGGTTCTACAGGCTGTGGCGAGGTGGAATTTCAGACCTCGGGGCACAACCTACCTGAAACCCACTCACCCAGTTGGTTGGTGTTTTGACGGGACGTGCGGGTAGACAGAAAATTAGAGGCAGGTAGGTAGAGTTGTCTTACTCTCAAGTTAAAAATAAATACACAAACAATATCAAAGGGCTTTGGGATCCTGCCTGATTTTCAAACAGTACAATGTTTATGTAGGAAACACTATGCTCTTCCTTATGAATTGTAGTGGGCCTGCCCAGTGCTGACGTTTATTGGTAGAGTCCATCTGACTCCAGATAAACATTATTATTTCGCTGACATGATAAATAGCACCAATTCTGCACAACAGTCCATTCGGAAAGCGACTGTTTCATTAAATCACTGAGAACGCAGACAGAATAACTACAGTAATTAAAGGGAAGTTAAACAGATTGCAGCGTTTTAACCCCACCCCCCAAACTCAAGGCTGGAAGCTGGTGGGGATGTGACGCACATTGGATTAATGTTGTATTTAATACACACCGATCTGCATTCTCGCCTCCAAGCAGTCGCGCTTTTCTCTTGAAACATGCAAGGAATGTCAGACGATCAGGCAAATGCACAGTCTTGCTGTGAACATTAGGCAATCACCGTGACGTGGTCTTTGGAACAAGACAATAAACACCCACTTTGGGATTTAAATAATCTCCCTATATTATGTGGATGTTTATAGCATTGAATTACATTACCAGTGTACCATTCTTATAGATCACTGTGTGTGTATGTGTGTGTTTGTGTATGAGTGTGTACTTTATCTCACTTCATGTTCTTGTGCATGTTCGCGTATAAGTATATTAATATATTCAAACCTATACATGTAAGTGTCTGCATTCTGAACATCTTCCTCTATTATGTAAGTCAATCTGAATATATGTATGGGCATTATACGTGTCTGGATGTGTCCTGATTTGTACTTTGGTTCTTGTCCACTTGCATTCAATACTCTCCATTGAGAGTGCATATTCCATTTCAGTCGTAGAAAAATGTTCATGTGTATCCATGACACATATACAATACAAAACTACATTTGTATAGCACCTTTCACATCCAGAGGACATCCCAAGGTGCTGGTATTCTCAGAATCCTTTGGATATTATTAAATATGATGGTGGGTTTCCGCGAGTAACAGATATCCAGCAGACCCTCAAACAAACTGAGGTATGGGTGAACCCACCAGTTAATTCCAAACAATTTGCGAAGTCTGTTTCTGTTCTGAGGTTGTATCAGCCCAAGTGACTCTCCCTTCCCCCAAACTAAATCTCATTTGCACCTGAAGCTGTGATCAACGTCTGAGCAAGCGTTAATTGGAAAGTGATGTTTCAAAGAAATTGAAATGCAAAACCTGTGCGTTCAATGGAAATTAATTATCATCAGTTACTTAACTGTTTTAAGAGATTTAAAAGAAACTGTACAGAGAGAGAGGGAGAAGCAGAGTAACAGACATGAACAGAAACTGACACCTCAGTTCACAGTTTCACGCTATGCCTGTCCTGCGGAACCTGTCTACAGTGGCGAAAAATAAGTAAAAATAATTTAATATGTCTGGAAGAAGGTAATCCATTCCAGCTGTTAATTCCTCTCTGCATAAATAAATAGTTCCCAGTGTCTGTTTAAAGGTTCACATCCCTGAACCTGTGCCCTCTTGTCTATTTGCTCTGACATATCTGAACTACTTGATCTATCATCTAAAACCCTCTGAGATTCATCTTCAAGGCCGAAAAGCCTTGTTTATCCAGTCATTCCAATTGCTCATCCCGCAAGAATGAGGTGTGCCTTCCCCAGTAACAGGTCTAACACTACCTTATAGTGTGGAAAAGATACAATAATAATAATCCTTGCATTTGATATAGCGTCTTATCATGTCTTCGAGACGTCTCAATGCACTTCACAGAGTATACTGTAAAGTGAATTGACTGTATATTTGTGGGCGAACGTGGCAGCCAATTGTGCACAGCAATGTCCCACAAACAATCGTGGATTGAGTGACAATTTATTATAACTGTTTTTTAAGGAATTATTATCCCTGGAAAAGAGATCCGCCAATTGACTAACAACCAGGTTCCTACTTACTGTTAGGTAAACGGAGGCGTATGTAATAAGGAAACTTGCCCAATGTTTCATCCTGCCCGGGAATCAGACCCAGATCCTTTCATTTGCGAGGTGAGTGCTCTAACCACTGGGCTATAGGATTCCTATTATACAAACCTTGTTATTATGAGCTTTTATGCCCAAACTGACCAGCGTCTTGCATACAGAAAGTGCCGCAGGCATCATTTTGCAAAGTAAGTGATGTCAGCAGCATGACCCGCGCATAGCGTGCATATGCCTAATGCAAGGAAATGATCCCGGCAGCAATCTGACGACCCGGAAGCATTGACCGACAGACATTTTTCTTGTGTGCCCCATTATAACACAGGGTCTGCGTTTGAGTCAACGGAGTCAAACTAACCAGTTATAATAGGGTTAAACAACATAATCTGCATAAACAACATGTGTTGATGTACAGTACCTTCCAGTCTGAGTCTGTGGGTGGCAGGAACACATCGGAATTCTCCTGCCAAGAGAAAAATACAGAAATTAACATGACGGAGGGGAAGTNAAAAAAACATATCTTGATCATTGCAAAGAACACAGGAACTTCTGACACATCGAGTCTGCTCCACCGTTAAATCCATAGAAACGTTGGAATTCAACTTCTCTGCTTTTATCTATCTATTTCAACAACAAAATTACATTTGTACAGCGCCTTTATTTCACCCCCAAAATATACAGTCAATTCACTTTACAGTATATTCTGTGAAGTGCTTTGAGATGTCTTGAAGACGTGAAAAGGCTCTATATCAAATGCAAGGATTATTAATATTAAAAGCCTGTAGGTTTAAGCTCCACTTCAGAACCTGAATTCATAGTCTAAGCTAACACTCCAGTGCAAACCTGGGGAGCAAGTTTATCTTTTAGATGATGGCATTAAACCAAGTTCTTGTCCGTCTGTTCATGGATTTTTAAATATCCTATCACACAATAAGAAAAAAAGGGGAGTTTCTTCCATTGTTCTGGTCAACAATCCTCCAAATTAATTAGTCATTCACTTCAAGTGAGCCAATAGTCTTTGCCAACAAAAACAACCAGTATGCTTGATCGCGACTGCGATCTAAAGTAGTTTGAGACGTTTCACTGTGATAAGACACTATAAAAGGTCAAGTTCTTTCTTTTATACAAAAGGACTGTGTGATGGGTGAGTATATTAACAGTGGCATTCTGAATTAATTGGATGTCATCAGCATAAAGGCTCAAAAATGACCCCAGACCAATACCCACTAAGTCCACTGTTGCGCTATGTTGAGGGAGGTTATTCCAATCCCCCCTTGATTGGAATCTCATGCTTTAATCGGCGTTTGGTCTTTTAGAGCAGGGTGGACACATTCAGTCCACTTTAAAGCCTCATCAATCAGAAAGTTGTGGAGACTCTGAATGCCATGAGAATGTCACAGCCATTTCAAAAGTGCAGAAATATCAAAAGTATACAGTACATTTCAGTCTGTGATCATCAAAGAGCATTCATTGATCTGCTGAGTGCCAGTCCTCACAGCGAGCGCTATCTTTGACCGTGAATCTTTGACACAGACACAAATACACAGAAGAGGAACGTATCTATCTGGGGCGAGAGGCATATGCAATGGCAGCAGCAGCTTAGCTCCTCACCTTCCCAAACCATCTAGAAGCAAACTCAGCTGATCATTATAAACAGGAAGTGTTTTGGTACGTCTTTATCATCGAGAAATCCTTGGGAAAATAATAATGCTTTTTAGGGTTTCACTGCACATTAAGAGCCTTGCGAGCTGCTGGAATGTAGTCGTAAATAAGTGCAAATAAGAACATCCAATCTCAAATCTTTATCGCAGAATCGTTGGGTGAGTCATTCATTCAGAAACTCAATCAAAACAACACCTGAAGGTGAAATAAACGAATTCAGTGCATCGAGCACAAAAACAGAATCATCAGACAACACTGCACAGGTCAAAGTTAATCCCGATGAGTTTGTTCTATTGGGAACCTAGATAGTCAGAGTGTGTCAATAGGAAGGACCTTGATCCATTGGGATTCCAGCAGTGACTGTCACAAGAGCAAAATAATAATAAGATGCTATATCAAATGCAAGGATTATCACGTCGTTGAGACACTTCACAGAATATTCTATCAAGTGAATTGTCTGCATATTTGCGAGCAAAACAGGGCAGCCAATTGCGCACAGCAATGTCCCACAACTATCGAAGATTAAGTGACCACATCTTTTTATGTGCTTCTTTATTTAGAGACTTTAGGAGATTTTTATTCATACAGACAGTTGTCAGGAAGTGGAATGTCCTGCCAGGTAAGGGGGTAGAGACAAAGTCTATTGTGGGTTTCAAAGGGCAAGTAGTCAAGTATATGTAAGAAAAGGGCTTGAAGGGATATAAGGATAGAGCAGGGCAGTGGGATTGAAAAGACAGTTTGCTCCAGGGGCGATTGGCTTCCTTTTTGCTTTCTATTCTATGAATGGGAAAGGGTTTGTTGGACCATGAGACTGAAAGGGATTAGGTCCATTGGCATATGGACAATGAGTGCGATTGTGAAAGAGTTTGTGTCAGCTGAATTCTGCAACGTGGTAGTGAATAGGAACCTGATGAAATCATAAGAACTCTTGCATTAGAATGAGGTGGAGCACTGCAACATAGACACAGGGAGCAAGGACAGCTGCAATCCTGATGAACGGTTGTGAATTTGTGGTATTAACTCGACTCCAGAGCTGAGAATAAATGATGCCACAACTAAGTGAGAGCAGATACATTTACACTGGCAGTCAGACCTTGATTTTGTCAGATATCAGGTCTGTTCCAACTTCTCATTGCTGGAATAAACAAGTAAAAAAGCCACATACCACTGAAATGGAAATGTCACTGAAGCTGTAGCAGTGCTTTTCTAAGGTTAATTTTAAGTAGGACAGTGCAGAGCAACTTTGTGTCTGAACCAAGCTCCAGCTGATCTGAGTTTAGCTTGGGTGCAAACCCCTCATTGCCCAGTGCTTTGGGACATCCTCCCGAGGTGAAAGGCGCTACACAAATGCAATTTGTTGTTGTTGATTTTGTTATTGACTGCAACATCGAGGACAATCTTTATACCTAACCCGGCTTGTACCTTGCTTGGGAGAGCTTGAAGCAGTTTTTTTAAGCAGGCAGACGGTAACAAAAAGGTGACACATATTGGACTCAGAATTCAGCCTCTCTTGCCAATTTGGTTGTTGTTTCTGATTTTTTTGTGCAGATTTGGGAAGAAATGAAAGGAAACTGAAAGTGTTTACTTAAAAAGTATGAAATGAACAGAAATATAACTGTGCCAATCACTAGAGCTCCAGCCTGCTTCACGTCCCCTGCCTCGCTCGCCCCACTATTGGCGATGGGCCTTCTGCCACTCTGTCCCCACCCTCTGGAACTTCATCCCACAGTCCTTCTGCCTCGCCTACTCCCTTGCCACCTTCAAGACCCATCGCAAGACCCTCCTCTTCAACCATGTCTTCGATTTCTCTGCTTCCCTCTGCCCTTCACACACCCCGACCCCAACCCCCAGGTCGGGTCTGAAACTCTGTCTGTCCAGCGCCTTGGGATGTCCTCCCGACTTGAAAGGTGCTATACAAAATGTAATTTTGTTGTTGTTGTTGTACAGACTGAGATTTTTCCTACTCTATTCTGTCAATCCTGTAAGCCAGAGCCCTAACAAGTATGGTAAACCTACTTGGACAAGCACTCGAAAGTTTGTTAACGTTCCCAGTGGCAAGCTACGTGGTTTTAGCTGATTAAACTTTAGCAGTTCCCATACACTGGGGACTCTATGCCATGGCATTGCCAACATAAACCTCTTGGGATTAAACCAGAGGTAATGGCTTAAAGCGTGTAAAAATGCAGTAATTGAAATTTCAAACCCAAACTGTATAATGCAGAGATAGTCTAGCCATCAGGATACAGAGAAGCTGAAGCTATTGATGTCTATTTGTCCCTGTTACTGGACAAGTCATCCTTTGTGTGAGGAAATCTTCTGCAATCAATTCTCTCTGTGCCCATGTACATAACCATTCAGGCTTATTGACGTCTTGTGTTTGCACAGTGTAGATTAAGAAGAGTTTGAATATATATGCCATTGATTTTCAGTAATAATCACTGGGCACATGTAATAATCACAACACCCTCTCCCCCACCCCTCCACAAAGCCTATAGTTAATTCCAAGCAGCCTCACATCGAGCGAGTAATGTTTACTCACTCAGTAAAGGTCAACGTGGTTATTGTCCGGAGGGGCAGAGCGCCTCCTCTGGTGGGCAGGGAGCACAGCATGCTGGTGCAGCAAGCTCACATCCAGAGCTCTGCCACGCTACAGGGTAAACAAGATGTTGGAGACAAAATGGATCATGCAGAAGGTCTATTTTAGAAATAAAGGACAAATATTTGCACTCGCTTCTGGAACTGTTGACAGACTGAACGATAAAGGACTCAAAGTTGAATGATGGAATTTCAAGCCTTCCCAATTTCACAAGATTATAATAACACAACACTCCACAGGCTCTTTATTTAACTGCAGGGAAGGGGCTAAATGCATAATAAAAGTCTCTTGGTATCAGTCTACTCCCAGTACCTGCAACCCCCTACTTCTCTGTTACTGGAATTTTCCCTGACTCCGATCCGTTTTCTATCACTTTACCACCCTGTCCCAACCCAATAGTCAAATACAATAGTTAATGTGCACGCCATTCTCTGACTTCCGTCCTTATAAAGCAATCCGAGACATTATCTGACATGAAGCTATATAAGTCTTGTGACTCCAGGCCATGGAGACCTGTAGCACATTCGTTAGATCATTCACATCACAAGTTTTGCCCACAAAATATACAGTCAATTCGCTTTACAGCATATTCTGAGAAGCGCTTTGAGACGTCTTAATGATGTGATAAGGCACTATTTCAAATGCAAGGATTACTATTATTATTATTATAAATCCAAGTTGCTGTTGGTGGTGTTTAGAGCAGCTAAATCTTTTCTTCTATCATCCCCTCCTTCCTTTCCCACTGCGCACAAATCTCCATTGGCTGGATTTTTGTTCTGCCTCCTTCACTCCTTGTGAAGTCCCACCTGACTAACAGCAACTATGGGAACTACAGCAACACTATCCAGTTTGCCTGCTTTAGAAAAAAAGACTGTTAAGTTAATACTGTACGCACTTCTCTGAAACCAGGTAGCAAAGGAATTATAATTGGGGGGGGAAAAAAAAACTCAGTTCTAGAACTCACTTGGGAGAGGATTGAAATGCCATCCATCAGTCATAGACTGGGGCACTGCAAGCTATTTCAGTAAGAAGGCCCTCCTTAGGCTCCTTACTTTTAAACAAATCCTACAATGACTCACCAATGACATCTGCTCCCGCAGCAGAGGTTTTTCTTCAATCATTCGTATCTCTTGCAATCCAGCCATTTCCAATCTGGACCAGTCAAATCCTGCAACACGCACACAAAACAATGTTAGCAAACAACAAGGACTGGGACAGTTACTCCGTAACATGCTGATCCTTTTAGGAACACGTCTTTCATTCGGATAACTGGTTCACGATTTACTTTTTCCACAGATCTGACCCTTCAGTGTGTGGTGCTTGCCCATGGCTTCCCCTGTGTGTGGATCACAGAACCTTGCTCTTTACTGGGGAGAAGAGGGGAAGCTGAATGAAAAGCCGCCTCCAGAGCTCTGGTTGTGAGTCTGGCTCTTGCTGTTAGCCAGTAGGTGGAACCTGCTGCCTATTGCAGTCACAGGAGAACTTTGCTGATACGCTGTCCAGTCCTTTTAAAGGGAAAATCCATTCCGTTTGAAAGGTGGAGATTGTTAATAATGCAGTCTGTTTCATTTGAAGAGAAACTATACTGTACTGATAAGCAGCCCACTCTGTTTGAAAGGAAACTACTGATATACCTTGTGCATCATTTGTAGGGGAACTTACCGATACACGGTCTGCTTCATTTAAAGGGAAATCAGTGATGTTCTCGCTCCTTGATTTAAAGGGAACGTCGACTGATATACCATCTACAGTACTTAATTTAAATAGTTCAACTCTATTTAATAATCAATTTACTTAGTTTAATCTGTTTAGTATTGAAGTGAGGTTGAATGCAAAATTCACCATAACTTGTGAAACCTCTATATTCAAGACAAGCTAATATTAGTGATAGTTTATTGTCTTTTTATGAGTCTTTTCCTTAATGTTTTTCATTGTTTAAAGAATCATCAGATCAATTTCCTAATCTACCACATTCAGTTTGTTCCCCCTCCCATCTCACCTACAATGGACTTGAAGCACCCACCATGCTGGGACCATCCTCATGTGGGGAGAGTGGACCTGAAGCTGTAATCTGCTCAGCCTCTCATTTATGCTGATGCACTGGGTATACTCGGACAAGTGAGGGGCTTTTGCCTTGATCGTGGACTCAATGTGTATCAAACCTTGGCTGATGCTGAGGGTCAAGGCAGGACAAGGCAGTGCAGATTAAATCAGCATCCAGGCAAACAACACTGGACTTTTCTTCAAGAAATACACATTTTGTGTGATTTTAACTTCTTATGTGAACTTTAAATAATGAAACCTAGGATCTGTTTTAAATGCGACAATGCCTGTATTTTAATGAGATTGCAAAGTATGGTTGTTGAATGTTCATTGTATGTCATTTTAAAGATCACTATGTTCATCCTATGTAATCCTGTTTCAATAATCTGGTCACCTCACTAAGTAGGTCACTTTTGCCGAGTCACTTAAGTGACCTGAATAGTGAGGTCCCACTGTACTGGTGATTTGTTGGTGATGGAAATTGACATAACTGTAACTTTGACATTCAGCAGAGGAGACCATTCGGCCTATTATGTCTGCGCTGCTGCTCCTCTCTAAGTAGCTTCTTGAATCTCCAGCTCTTTCCCAATCCCCCGCGCAGAAACATAACATATGTCTGCTTTTAATGGCAACATTGGAACATTGAGTTGAAGCTCACAGTTTCAGAGGAAAATAGTGATACTGAATTCATGACAAGAACTGGTTTGGGTCCAATTTGTGTTTACCAGGCAGTGCCCGAGATGGGATTAGCTGCACCTGGAACATTCAGATAAGGGGATCAATAATATAGAGACTTTACAAAACAGATCCGGGGGTTTAATGTGTCATTTCAAGCCCATTCTTTATGGTGAATTTAAAGGATTTAGTCAGCCTGGTGCCTGAGCAGCAATTGAAATCACACACAAGTGAGAAACTCAGTCATTGGCTTGTTCATAACCCCCAGGTTGTAAAGAAAGGAATCAAAGAACATTTTCCCACCTGCAAACTATCTTGATGTTGTGCGAATGGTTGGCATAGGAACGGCTAACTTTCACCAGCCTGGGAGAAATGGGAACGATTGGGCTTTACCGGAAACTGGGGGCATGTATGTGTCTCTCTCCTACTCTGCATTGTGTCAATTCCTGAGAAGCCACCCCTCCTGCTCTTTTTTCCAGGTGAACATGCTGGCACCAACTGTACACTGCACACAGGATCACCAACTACACTGCCTAGGTAAGTGAAGAGAAAATCTGAAAATAATTCAGTGCTTGCATTTGACACAACACATTATTATTCCAAACGCTTCACACACGGAACCCGTTTGCACTGATTTTCCATTTGAAAGACGCAGCAAAACGCTGACTGCTTTGAGCAGCTGAGCAGTCAGCCTAAGAAGCACCGCTGCCATGTTTTGCCCACAAAATAGACAGTCACTCCACTTTAGAATATAATCTGTGAAGCTCTTTGAGATGTCTCAACGATACGATAAGGCGCTATATCAAATGCAAGGATTATTATTAATATCTTTTTCAGCCACTGAGATGGTGCTTCTACCCAGACATTCAGAAGGTATACTGAGTTGAGACAGACATCTCCCTAGAGAGAGGAAGGTAAAACTGGGTCATTCACGTCATGGCTGTTTGTGGAACTGTTTGCTGTGCGCAATTGGGCTGCGACATTCCACTTCGCAATAAATCCTGTGATGTACTTTGGGAGGTTCTTCCCGGTGTGAAAGGTGCTATGCCAAGTGCAGGTATTATTTATTATTGTTTCTTTTAGTCAGTGTCATTACATCAGCCCACAAGCTCAATGTCACGACACATAACACACAAAATCAAGAGAAAAATCTCTCCCCAAACCTCGCAATGAACAAGACAAAATAAAAGTTGGAAAAGAGTGAACAAATATTTATTGTGTGACCATATCTTACTGGAACAAGTTAGCAAGAGGCCTTGTGTGCAATCAACTTTTATGCAATCAGCTCCTTTGAGCATCAAATTTCCATGTTGTCCATTACGACAAGTTAATAATCATTACCACCTTTGATCAAATTAAACATTCAGCACCAAGGACAGCAGCAAAAGTACAAGTAGGGCTAAATAAGCAAGAAAGTCACTTATTCACGGTTCACGTCAGTTTAAATCACTAACAAGTTGAATTGTTACACTGACTGGCTGGTGTGAAGTTTGCACAAGGTAGTCTAAGATTATGACAATCAAAGAAAGATGTCTTCAAATCTCTGATTTTGTTGCAGTTTCAGACTGTGTGGCGGTGGGGAAAACAGCCCTTCTGAATGTGGGTATTCTTTTGGGATAACTTCTAAAGGACGTTGCTTTTCTGCTTTTAAATCTTGTAATGACAAACAGAGAGAGTTGTATTTTTCCAAGAATTTTTAGAACCGGGCATATTGGAATGCATATTGGAATGCACCATATTAGTTTCCTCTGTGTTTAGCTAGGGTTTTACAATAAGCTTCAAACAGTCTTTATCTTCCCTGTCAAGTCCATTTCTACTCTGCTTCTCAGTGGCCTCTGAGTGAGTGCAAGCATGATATAGAAGAAGTCAAAGAAGTCATCTAAATTGTAAATCTGTCATGTGCCCTCCATTTAGCATTAAATTAGCAACCAAAAGTATTATTCAGTTCAATAAGTCCAATAGTGTAGTGGTTAAAGTACTTGCCTCGCGAGTGAGAGGATGTGGATTTGATTCCCGGGCAGGAAGCCGGTGCCAGTCGAGCGGAGGCGCTGCGTGGTGGATTGGGGAAGTCGGAGAGGTAGGGAGGTGCCAGAGAGTGAAGGGATTTGAACACAAGTGTGAGGATCTTGAAGTCACTGCACTAGACTGCATCTTTTTGGTGACTTTGCATGAAAGAGTAATATTGACCCAGGGATCAGGGAAAATTGCTTGCTCTTCTTTGAAATAATGCTTTGTGATCTTTGTCATCCACTTGAACCACCAAATGGGATCCTATTTTATCTCATCCAAAGGACCATATCCTCCAAATATACAGCAGTCCCCCAGTACTGCACTGGAACATCAGCTACGTTTCTGAGCTCAAGTCATGGTTTAGGGCTCTAACTACAGAGATGGATCTGACAGGTTTGCCAACTTGGCTCATTTGGTAGCACTTTTGCCTATGAGACAGAAGGTTCGGGGTTAAAGCCCACACTGGGACCTGGAGCCCATATAGCCCAGGCTGACAGTACTGGGGGTCGGGGTGGTGGATGGTGGATGGTGGTACATTGTCGGAGGTGCTGTCCTTCAGATGAGACATTAAACTGAGATTCCATCTGCCTGTCCAGGTGGACATCCAGGTAAAGATCACATGGCGTTGTTCGAAAAGGGAAGAAAATTTTTCTCTGTGTCCTGGCCAACAGTTCCCCAGATAAAAAGTGGTTATTCACTGTCTGTGCGCAAATTGGCCGCCAAATTAGCCCACAAAATATACACAGTCTCAGCACTTTGCAGTATATCCTGTGAAGCTCTTTGAGATGTGATAAGAAGCTACATTGAGTTCAAGAATTATTATAATTTAGGTTTTACAAATCTAAGCAGATTCTAAAAAGTGCATTTTGAAATGGAATGGGTTTAATTCCCGAGTAGGGCAAAATGTTAAGCAAGTTCCCTTGCTCCACACAACTCTGTATTACCTAACAGTAAGAACCTGGTTGTTAGTCGATTAGCGGATTTCCTTTCCGGATGCAATAATCCCTTCAAAAAATAATAAATAAATAAAATTTAAAAAACGATAATTTGGTCACTCAATCCACGACTGTTTGTGGGACGCTGATGTGTGGAATTGGCTGCAGCATTTCACCCACAAAATATACACTTTACAGTATATTCTGTGAAGCGCTTTGAGATGTCTCAAAAACATCACAAGGGGCTATATCAAATCCAAGGGTTATTATTGTTATTGTCCAGGGTCTTGGGACATCCTCCCGGCATTCAAGGCGCTACATAAATACAATTTCTTGTTGTTATTGCTAGGCAGAGAGCTGCAAGTAAGAGGTTCTAAAATGGGAGTAGGTGGGGCTGTGTGTTACCATTTATTTCACCTCTGGGAACTGTACTCAAATCCATCCCAAGCTGAATGGGATAACATTCTTTCTGTGCTGGTTGAAAATGTCCCATGAGAGATACATTTCCATTATTTCAACTGATTTCCTAGATGTCTCAGTGCATTTATCCCAGACACTTAAGTCAAAAGGTACATTTATCCCAATGATTTGAACCGTATAAACTGGAAAGGTTCAATCCTTTCTATGTGCTGTCAGCTGAGCTCATTTGGAGTGGCTCTCATGTACAAATGCTGTATTTCAGGTTTCCTGATTGCTCCACAGTGACCACTCACTCACTCACTCACTCCCTCCCATAGGAAATGGATGTCAGGTGAAACATGCTTGGGCTTA